CCCCAAAACCCCAAAACCCCAAAACCCCAAAACCCCAAAACCCCAAAACCCCTTATCGCATGGATAAGATTGATTCTCCAAGCTACAAATCATATCCCATCTTCTTTGCCTTCTTCCCAGTCTTCTTTTTCTTGTTTGCTTTGTTGATAGCCTGCTTCTTGGCCAAGAGCACAGCGTCGTCAGCTTGACCCTTCTTGGCGCCTCCTTTGTTGAATCTATTCTTGAGGGCTTCTCTGATTTTTGCTTCTTTTTCTTCAGGGTCTAAATCTTCTTCCTCCTGAGTTTGAGCCTCTGGTTGTGGCTCAGCTGGTGTGGAAACTTCTGCCTTCTTTTCTTCTTCGGCTGGAGCTTCTCCTTCATTCTGCTTGTTCTTGTTCTTCTTTTTCCTCTTCCTCTTGTTTTTAGGCTTTTTGGGTTCTTCCTTCTCCACTTCGATGCCCATTTCTTCGAAGAGTTTATCCATTTCTTCGAGTTCTTTTTGAGTCTTTTCCTCTTTGCTCATTTTGGCAAGTTCTTTCTCTTTCCCTAAATTATCAAATTAGAATTCTTCCAGTCGGACCAGGGATTGAATAGAATCAAAAGGCAACTCACTTATTTGCTCTTCCTTTTGCTTCTTTTCCTCTTCTTCAGCTTTTCTCTGAGCCTCGATTTCTTCTGGGGTTGGGGCGGCTTCGTCATCAGAACTCTAAAAGATAAATGTGAGCCATACACTTTGGTTGAGTTCTTCTTGGGCGACATCCTTCTCGAGCTGTCTGACCTGGAGAGCCTTTACTTTGTAGTCTCCCCACTCGTTCTTTTCGGTGATTAGTTTTGGGCCAGTTGCCTTCTTTTCACGTTTGAAATGTCTAAAGCTTTGAAAAGAGTTCTTACTTTCCTCCCTTTTTCTTGTTTTTGTAGATTTTTGGTCCAGAGCCTTCTTTTTCTTCCTCTTCTTTGTCACTTTCATGCTCTTCACCTTCGGAAGAGTCGGAAGCTTCAGCTTCCGAGTGGGCTTCGTCAGACTCTTCTTCTGAGTCGTCCTTCCACTCTTCTGGGTCAGGGAACTCTATACATGCCTAGCGAATCTTACTGCCTGCCTCTTTATTCATGATTTTTGTATCAAATTTTAATATAATAAAACAATTATAGGATGTTTTATAGGGGTTTTGGGGTTTTGGGGTTTTGGGGTTTTGGGGTTTTGGGGTTTTGGGG